GCCACTCCCAGGCACCTGTGCCCCTGCCCCGACACCCAACCTCATCCCTGGGCCAGGAACCCCTGCCTTACCTTCTGGTTGAGGGAATCCACAAACCACTCATCCCCCATGAAATTGCAGGCCATGTCTACATCTCCGTTGTATAACAGTATCTTGTATTTCTGGAGCAGGACGGGGAAAAATGACAGCTCTGGAACAAGCCCAGATCCCAGCCCACCCCTGGTTCAAGCACTACCCACGAGGGAATTCAAGAGGCCCAGCTAAATGGCATGAACCAGGACGGGCTCCTGTTTTTTGACTGCTTACTGCATGTCCAGAGCTCTACTAAATACTTTATCTATGAAGGTAGATTATTTTCCCATTTTACAGATGGGGAAACTGAGGCTTAAGATATTTAAGACAATTACCCAGGATCACATGGCTAGTAAAGGGACTTTCACCCAGGCCACGTGACTCCAAGGTTCCTGCTATTAACCACTGTGTGGGACAGAAGCTGGTCCTTGCCTGTCTGTGCTACAGCCTTGGACAAGGTCCTCTCCCACCCTGGACCTCTGTCATTGTAACATGATCCCACGAGCTCTTCTCACCCTAAAGGTCCCTTGACTGAGGCAGACCTGTTGGCCTACAGCAGAGCAGCATGGGGTGGGAACAAATCCTGCCAACCACAGGACCTTGGGCAATTGACTTCATCTCTCAGAATTCTGGCTTCCCCTGTCCTGGATGGAACTCTAAAAGGGGCCCCAGCTTGCCAGGCTGCTAGTGGATCTGGCTGTGCTGTCCCCACTCACCTGTGAGTTGAGCAGCTTCAGGTACTGGGAGTTCATGCTTTGGTAGAGACGGCGGTACTGTAGATTAACCAGGAGGCTGCCGGGAGCACAGGGGCAGGCCCCAGGAAGACCAGTCAGGGAAGAAAGAGTCATCAGATCAGACCCTCTCTCCTACCCCAGCCCCAACCCAGGAGGCAGACAACTGGGTCTCACTTCCCTTTTTGGGTGTGTTATTTCTCTAGGACTGACTGAGGAAAGCCTCAGGCCACCCCCATTTAGGAAGGTACAGGGACACTTTTTGGTTGTTACAGTGACTGGGATGTGATGGCATTTAGTGTCCAGGGGCTGACAGATGTGACAGTGACAGCATATGATAGAGTAGAGCATGCGCACTGACTAATCAGAACGGACCGAGTGGCCCCTGCTGTGCCAGGCATCACCCTTTAACTGGGTCACAGGAGATCTAAGCGGCTAGGGACAGTATCAGAGCGGGCATTGAGATGGCATCTATTCACTAAATACCATGGAAGTGATAGCTCTTAATGACCAGTGTGGCCACTTAAGGATGCACTGGCTGAGCATCAGCCACCTTAGGGGTTGGGGATGTTAAGCATCCTGCACAACAACTACTTTCACTGGGAAACCCTAAATAGACGATCCCTGGGAACCTTTCCGATGCCCATAAGCCCCAACAGCCTGCCACGCCACGCCACGCCACAGAACCTCACTTGCACATGTCCCAGCGGGGCAGCTGCTCGGGGATGTGGAGGGCCTTCCGCACGTAAGGGTCATTGAGGTAGGTGGAGGTGGCTGTGGTGTTGGTGCAGGGGGGGTCCATGCGCACCCTGTTCCCAGATCGCAGCAGCGCCTGGGGGCACACAGACGTGGCATCAGGACATTCACCTCCCTGCCCCTCCCCAGCCCTCCGGGAGGAAGCCCGTGCGTGCCCTTGCACACCTGATGCCGCGTCCGCTTGAGTGGCAGCTGAGTGAAGATGTTGCCCAAATCCTGGATCACAACGGTGTCGTCCTCGTACCTGCAAGTAAAGTCAGGGTATGGGCTTGAGCCTCCAGCTGGAGCTGGGCTTGGCCCAAGGGGCACTACGGCAGTACCTACCTTAAATAACTGGGCACCCCCCCAGCGCATGGGGCGTAGAGGTTGTAGATGTTGAGGCCAGAGTTGCCCACAATGCGGGACACTTCCTGAAGCTGCAACGACACACCAAGCCACCACGCTTTGTGGATGCTGGCTTCCTTCTCCACGACCTCACCCACTTGTTCCAAGATTTACTGCTCTCACACTTCACCTCTTAGCATCACCCTTCACCCACTGTTTGCACAAGTAGGGAAACTGAGACCCAAGGAATCTTTCAGACCTGGGTCCAAATCCTAACACCACTATTTCATAGCACTGTGACTGCAGGCAGTGACTTCAAAATTCATGACCTCAGTTTCCCCATCTGGAAAATGTGGACAGTATGCTCTCCCTTGAAGGAGAATACTGAAGATTAAAACAGAGTTCAGCACAATGCCTGGTATATGAGGAAGTCTTTGCCCTGAAAGTCACAGGAAGTGGTAGTGACGGGAAAACACGCACAGATGCGTGTCCCAGAGAACACTAAACTGCTAACAGGTGCAGGCTAGATAGCATTGGGGTTGGGGGACAGGGAGTCCCCAAGGAGGGGATGAGGTCCTGTTCTCAGGATAAGGGATGGCAGGGCTGATGCAAAGTGGGGGCAGAAACTCACATTGGTCACGCATTCTGGGTCTTTGTTGTCATAGAAGTTACACTTGTTTTGAGAGCAGCAGTGAGTCTGGAGGGAAGACCAGAGCCTGTAGGAGATTGGGGTGGAAAGTGTGTCAGCCCACAGTGGGCAAGGGGTGAGCACCCCACTCCCCATTCTGCCAACTTCCCATCAGGACCTGACCCTGGGGGGCTAGGAAAGATAGCACAGGGTGTGGTGTGGGGGTGCCAAACTTGGTTCCCAAAGCTGCCCCAGGGCCATAGAGGCAGCCCTCCTCAGTCCCTCTAAATTCTGATCTCTGCTCTTAGGGCTGTTAGCACCAAGCCCTTCCAGCAATTCTTGTCCCCACTTCTGCCCATAAACCAGACCAGGACCTGGCCTATCTTGTGCCTGGAGGATAGACCCGAAATCTCGCGACCTGCCCCACCTTAGAGGTTGCCCAACTGCCCTTGTTTCATACCTGTTCCCCAGAAGGCCATGGTAGTAGGCAAAGTAGACCAGGGAGTTGTCATTCTGCTCATAGGAGGAGAGCCCATTGCCCACAGCGAGCCCCTGTGAAACACCCAGGGTGCTCAGCTCATCTGGAGGGGGAAAAGGAGGAGCCTCCCCTGATCTACACCTAGACCTTCCGCAGTCTGGAAGCTGAAACCCAGGGTGGGTGGGTGGGGCAGGCCACTCAATGTAAAGAGCAGAGCTGGCAGCCTGACAGGTGAGCTTCCTGTTGTGGGAGGTGTGCAAGCAGATACAGGGCGGGGAGGTTCTGGAGGCTGGGATGGATGGGGACGTTGACCACTCTGACCTTGCTAACTGCAAAGCTACGGCCACAAGGTGTCACCCCCTTCCCTCCTGCAGCTGCTCTGCACCTGGAGGTTCATGCTGGGGTCCTGCATGACCAACACAGCCAGAGTGGGGATGTAGATGCCAGCATAGCTCTCTCCAGTCAGGAAAAGCTTGTTGTCCTTGTACTCCGGGAAGAGGCAGAAGAAATCTTTAAGGGCCTCAAAGTTGCTCTGGGCGACCTGGGGATGGGAAGATGGAGGGAATCAGGAGACTCTGGTATTTGAGCTGTAAAGAACCTCAGAAATAATGACACCAGCCCATCCTGTTGTGCAAGAGAAAGTCTCTTGGCCACAACCACATAACATAGCATGTGACAGAGCCAGAAATGGACTCTGAGGCCGTGCTGTCTCTCCCCACATCACGCCACCTTTGGAGAACCCAGCAGCCTGGGCCACACCTCACCTCAGTGTCATTGGTTGCATAAACCTTGTCATCAGAGTAGGAGAAGCCCACCCCAGCTGGGGACTCGAGGTACAACACGTTGGCAATCTAGAAGGGAAGAGGAAAGGAACTGAAGAGGGTCCCCCACCCCACTCAGGTGCCAGATGCCCCACAGGACCCACAGCCCCGCTATACCAGGTTCCAAGAATAGGGGTTGTACTCCAGGGTGATACCATCTGGCTGGATCTGAGGAGGAAAGAGATGGTCCAATAAGTCCCAAGGGCCACCATGCTAGGCCCTTTACCAGTGGGCAAACCCCCCTGGGAGGCACAGGCGGTCAAGCCAATGGGATAGATGGAAAAACAGGCTCAAGAGGAAGAAAACGTTTCTGGAAAACCACAGTCTCCATTCCCAGCCTCTCCCTTCGGTGCCTATCCCTTCCCTGTCCCTTTCTCGGGTTATGGAAGGAGAGCGCTGCTGTCCACTCACCAGGAAGGGGCCGTGCTCGGTGAGCAACCCATCCAGGGAGCTGCAGCCGGGACCCCCGTTGAGCCAAAGCACCACAGGGCTGTTCTCAGGATCATTCTGGGACTCCACAAACCTGGGAGGGGGTCAGGACAGGGTTGGCACAGGTGGAGGGACCCCTTCCGGCTCTGCCAGCTCCCGGGCGCCCTCAGGGGACTTCGGAAGTCCCCACCATCCGCCATCCACCCCCCGCCCCGCGCCGCTCGCAGCGCCCGCAGCGCGCGCTCCCAAGCCCGCCCCGGGAGGCAGCGCGGCAGACCAGTAGTGGAGACGCTTGGAGCCGGAGCCCTTGAGGTAGCCGGAGAACTGGCGGAACGACGGCTGCTTGGCCAGCCCAGGGAGGGACTGGATCTCGTCCTGCTGCGGGGCAGCCTCGCCTCGGGGCGCCGAGGATCCGAGCAGCAGCAGCAGGAACAGCGGCGACAGCGCGGCTCGGACCATCTGCGGGAAGCATCCCCGGCGCCAGCTGTTTCCTCGCACCTCAGCCGCCCGGGGAGGAGCTGGCGGCGCAGGGCGCGGGGAGCCCCGCTCCAGCCCAGCTCCCACCCGCTGAGCCGCCTCCGCCGCGCACAGACCCAGGGCTCAGGGCTCCCTCCCTTCCAGCCTCCGGAGTCCTCTCACCTCGGCTCCCCTGCGTCCTAGCTCTCCCGGAGGCGCGCGGGGACTGGAAGTCATGTGTACTCCAGGTCACGTGGGAGGCGGCGTCACGTGACAGTCTGCCTTTGCCCCGCGTTAGTCCCGGCGGGGCGTGGCGGTCAATGCTGGGTCAAGGACAGGGGGCCTCGCAGGTCGTAGTCCCCGGCGCCCGCGATCAGATGATCCTGGTGTGGGCTGCCAAGTTCCCGCAGCCTCCCGGGGGCCCGCTCTCGGCGGGATGGCTGAGCAAGCGGCGCTAGGACCCCTGGGCAGAGCCTTGGGAAGGGAGTTGGGGTGGGGGAAATGCCTTACATGGTCCCTTAGTGGTCACCGTCTGAGCCCGCCGCCCAGAATAGCTCCTGGCGCCTGCTGGCCCGACTCATGGCTGGGAGATGGCTGCTGCCTCCGGCCCGGCGGAGTTGGGTGCACCCCGGGGACCCGCACGCCCGGAACCCCCTCCCACCCGCTTCCACCGGGTGCACGGTGCCAACATCCGCGTGGACCCCACTGGGACGCGGGCCACACGCGTGGAGAGCTTCGCCCACGGCGTGTGCTTCAGCAGCGAGCCGCTGGCCCCGGGCCAGCTGTTCCTGGTGGAGATCGAGGAGAAAGAGCTAGGCTGGTGCGGGCATCTGCGCCTTGGTCTGACTGCGCTGGACCCCGCCAGTCTGGCCGCCGTGCCCGAGTTTTCGCTACCCGACTTGGTCAGCCTCGGCCACACCTGGGTCTTCGCCATCACGCGCCACCACAACCGCGTGGTCCAGGAGGGCCACCCAGAGACAGAGGCAGCCCCCAGCCGCCCCCCGACCCTCCTGGTGGAACCATATCTGTGCATCGAGCAGTTTCGCATTCCCCGGGACCGCCTGGTGGGCCGCAGCCGGCCAGGGCTCTACAGCCACCTCTTGGACCAGCTCTACGAACTGAACGTGCTGCCTCCAACCGCGCGCCGTAGCCGCCTGGGCGTCCTCTTCTGTCCGCTCCCAAATGGCACGGCCGACATGCACATCGTCATCAACGGCGAGGACATGGGCCCGAGCGCGAAGGGGCTACCCTCCGCCCAGCCCCTCTACGCAGTGGTGGATGTGTTTGCCTCCACCAAGAGCGTGCGCCTGGTCCAGCTCGAGTATGGCTGTAGGTATCCCGCCCCGTGGGCAGCGACCCCACCTGGCCCAGTGTGGGGACAGGAACCTGCTAGGACTCCCAAAACAGCTAGATAGGCCTTGGTCTGTCCAGCACTACTTTAGAAGTGGAAGAATCTGGCTTCAGTTTGCACCTCTGCCTGTGATCTTGCACAAGTCACTACCTGGCTCTGGGCCTCAGTCTACACACCTTGGCTGATTAAGATGCTCTACAAGTTCTCTGTTTTAATTTTGACAATGTTTTTCCTAGGGCAGGGATTCCTAGTCAATTTTAGATTGGGCCTCTTTGAGAACTGCATACTCTTTACACTTGATCTTAGCCAAAAGACTGAAAAACGATTTTTTTTTTTTTTTGAGACAGAGTCTCACTCTGTTGCCTAGGCTAGAGTGCTGTGGCATCAGCCTAGCTAACAACAACCACAAACTCCTGGGCTCAAGGGATCCTCCTGCCTCAGCCTCCCAGAGTGCTAGGATTACTGGCGTGAACCACCATGCCCGGCCTTGTGTGCTCTTTCATTAGAAAACTGCTCATAAGGCCGGGCGCTGTGGCTCACGCCTGTAATCCTAGCTCTTGGGAGGCCGAGGCGGGCGGATTGCTCAAGGTCAGGAGTTCAAAACCAGCCTGAGCAAGAGCGAGACCCCGTCTCTACTATAAATAGAAAGAAATTAATTGGCCAACTAATATATATATAAAAAAAAATTAGCCGGGCATGGTGGCGCATGCCTGTAGTCCCAGCTACCCGGGAGGCTGAGGCAGAAGGATCACTCGAGCCCAGGAGTTTGAGGTTGCTGTGAGCTAGGCTGATGCCACGGCACTCACTCTAGCCTGGGCAACAAAGTGAGACTCTGTCTCAAAAAAAAAAAAAAAAAAAAGAAAACTGCTCATAGATTTGGGCTTGTCAATTTAGAGGCATCACAGACTCCAGATGACAGCTTCTTAATCCTGAGGTCTGGTTCATTATAGCCCCTTTAAGCATTTTATTTATAACTGTGCTCATGTCTCATGAATTCAATGAACTAGAACCCTCTCTGCCAGGCCTGTGCTGGAGGCTGGGGTTGACACAGGCAAATCAGACATTAACCTTCCCCCCCAGAGGCCAAGTGAAAGGAGAAGGGGTTATGCTGAGTGTTAAGACAGACAGGGCTGTGGCACTGTGACAGTTCTCAGGGGGAGGTGCTTATTTCAGCCACATGAACAGCCCCAGGAAGCAGGCTGGGCCCAGAGGGCAAAAAGGACTTGCCCACATTAAAGGGGAAGACCTAGATCTTCTGGGCCTCGGCCTCAGACCCACTCTCCTGTTCCATTTGCCTTTGACAACCGTCTTCCCACAGTGCCGTCCCTGCAGACTCTGTGCCGCCTAGTGATCCAGAGGAGCGTGGTGCACCGGCTGGCCATTGATGGGCTCCACCTGCCCAAAGGACTTAAGGATTTCTGCAAGTACGAGTGAAGGCCTGCAGCCGGGCCGCAGGAGCGCATCCTGGCCCCCGAGCTGTGGCTGGTCTGAAGCTGGTCACCCTGCTGCCAGACAGGGCCAGAAATAAACACGGCTAATGCTGACACTCTGATCATTGGAGGGTCTCCTTGCCCCTACAGCCTGTGAGAGGCACTTATTTTAGAATCACTCTGGGTCAGCAGGTGAGAGCATGTTAGATGTCATCTAGACCAGTGGTCCCTAGCCTGGCTACTTGTTAAAGTCACTGGGATACAGAGTGCTGATGTCCCACACCCCATCTCTAGAGATTCTCATTTGATTTATTGGGGGATTAGGCCTAGATGTTGTTTTTTGTAAGAGCTCCCCTGGAGATTCTAATGTACAGCCAGCGTTGAGAAGCATTTTCCTAGAATAGCAGTTCCAACTTTGGCACATATTATAGTAACTGGAGGAACTTTGAAAAATACTGCTATCTGGGCCTGACCCTAGGTCTCACGCTGCAGGGCACAAAGCACTTGTCTCCTTTATTTCCATCTCTGATCATTTGCTGCCATACAAATGATCTCATTTCATCCTCACGACTCCTATTGAGGTAGTAGGCAGTTATCCCCACCTTACAGATGGGGATATCAAGGAACAAAACTGTCCAGGTGACTTGCCCAAGGTAAGGGCAAGAACCTAGAACATCCAGGTCCTGGTCCAGTGCTCTTTTAACCTCATCCCATTGTCATATGCAGGTTCTAGAATGAACAGGTCAATGCTGTGAGGTGGGTTCCAGGTGTAAAGGGGAGGGACTATGAGGTGACATTCTGGAAGGGTGGAGAGGCTAGGACAGGAGGCAGATGACTATTCCCTCACAAACGGGCTTTGGGGCAGCCATGTCCTACTTTGTGTCTCCACAGACTCATCCAGGTCTTCTGTCTTCTGGTCAAGGTGAGAGGGGGGCACCTGGAACTTCCCTTGAGAATTTGCTTTCTGGCTCTGGGGAGGTGGAGGTTCTGCTGGGCATTTGGGGGCTGGCTCTGGAGTCAATCCTCTTAGAAGAAAAGCCATTCCAAAAGTCCTTGCCAATCAATAACTACCCACTTGCCCACTCATTCATTCAACAAACACTTTTCCATCACCTACTCAGTGCTGGAGGCTGGAGTATGGATATGAGTAACACCTAGTTCCCAACCTCTAGACAGTCTTTGTGGGTCGGTCTTAATTGCTTTTGTTCCTATGCCCATAGGAGCTCTGCTCCTGTGCCCTGCCCCTCAGGGCCTCCTTCTCAAAGAGACCAAGAATAACATTCCATCTCATTCTCTGCAGGTGGGGCCGCTTCTCCAGGCTCATCCCTTGGCCTCTATAGCCCTGTAGAGGCAGTGATGGTGGCCTCTGGTGGAGTAGGCCAGAAAGCTGAGCAGGTGGCACCTGCTGCCCAGGCCTGGGGCCCAGCCCTGGCAATGCCAGAAGCCAGGGGCTGCCCTGGGGGGGCTAGCTGGGAGCCGCTGCGGAGGAAGGAGTACAGCCGATACTGCCACAAAGTCCCCCATGTGAGGCAGCCGGAGAGCTTGGGCTGGCAAGATGGCTGCTCCAGAAGCAGAGCTCCCCACCTTGGTGGCCCCAGCAGGCCTGGGCCCCTGCTGCTGTGTGGGCTGTCACCAGGGGTTCTGCCACCACCCCCAGAGGCAGGGGGGAAGGAGGCCGGCTCCCAGCCTGACATCTGCATCCTTACCCTGGCTATGATGATCGCTGGCATCCCCACTGTGCCCGTCCCAGGCCTGCGGGAAGAGGACCTGATCCGGGCTGCTCAAGCTTTCATGACGGCCCATCCGGAGCCAGATGGAGCTGGGGAGGGGGCACGGTGGGAGCAGGCACGTGCCCACACAGCCTCTGGGCAGGTGCCGCTAGTGAGATCCAGGAGGGGCCAGCCTCCTGGCTCCTGCTTGTAGCTGGATGAAATAGCACCAGACACAGAGGGTGGCTTTTCCGTATGGTTCTTGGGCAGACAGGGTTGGGGAGCCTATGGCAAGGAGGGCGATAGGGTGGGTGGCTGAGCCATTTTGACAAATTCAGTCCTTCAGGAGGGACTTCCTGACCCCAGGAAGTTTCTCTGGATACCACTAAGACAAGAGATAGCTCTTGTCAGATAGATATGATTAAAATTATCTGAGGTAGGGGGCCTTGCTTGAAGAGTCAAGGCTTCTTTTTAATGTTTTGAGGACTTGATCAAAATTTCTTATATAAAGTGCTAGGCAATGTGAACTCCCCTCTTGCCTTAAATTTCCCAGCATGTTGAAGGCAGGTCATAGGACCATAGGCAAGCAAGGAAAATTAATACTTAGTTGAACACCCACCAGGTATGTCCACTCTTTAATCTTACTGACCCTGTGGCCCCATTTTTACAGATAATCAAATTGAAGGTTAGAAAAGTGACTTGCCTAAAGTCCCATAGCTAGTAAAAAGTAGAACCAGGCTCAAAAATCAGACACAGAAGGAACCAGGATTCACCCACAGTATCATACTCCAAAGTCTATTCTTTCCATGATATACCCTAAACTGCCTTCTACAGAACAGAAAAAGACAAGTGCTAAAATATGCCACATTAAATTTTATTGATGCCAGGATGGGGGGGGGGATGGCGGGAGCCTGGCTAAGCCAAATCCCCTGAGGGGCCTTTTCCTCTGTGGGAAGGCTCCTAGGCCAGCTCTCTCAAGGGAGATGGGTCAGGTGAATCATCTCATGACTAGGGTGGCTGTTACCAAGCCCCAGGCCTCAGTCTTACCACCCAATTTCTTATCTTAGATCACAAATTGCCTACTTTGGTATGACCCTTGAGATAAGAATGGTTTTTACCTTAGGAAAAGGTTATCAAAACAAAATCAAGAATACACAACAGGGACTGTATGTGGCCAACAATGTAAAGTATTTATAATACTATTGGGCCCTCTAGGGGCTAGACACCTTCCAGGTAGCAGGCTATGGTAGATTAAAAGACCCTTGTCCTTATTCTGGAAGGAGGGCCCACGGAAGTACAACAGTGTGAGTGCGAGTTTGTGTGTGTGTAGGGGTGGACGTGAGTGTGTGCACATGCACGAGCATCTCTGGGCATCGAGAGTAATCAGAGTTGGACCTGCTCATAAGGGCCGATCCAGCTGTCGGCCAGTTCCCGCAGGGTGCTGTACCTCCGCTCAAACTCCTCCTTACTGCAGTGCTGCAAGAGCCGACCTACCTCCTCAGTGAGGTGAGTCACTGCCAAGTGCTTATCCAGGGTCTCATTCCACTTGCTGCCCAGGATGCTGTCTAAACTGGTGGCACAGCCTGCTGTCCACTGAGCAGGGAGCATGTCAGGCTGGAGGACCTGGCGGCGGGCACTGAGCATGGCTAGGATGTGGCGGCAGGGCAGCTGGAAGGCCTGGTTAAAGTAGCAGCTGCAGCTGGCAGGGGGCTGGGGTTGCACCTTGTGAATGTCTTCCAGGATCTGTATGTTCATCTTTTCTGAGCCAGAGCCAATGAGGTGTGTGGATTTCTGGACCACGGCAAGCTCGCCCAGGCAGAGCTGGGCCGCTGGCCCTGTGCAGATGGCATTGAGGGAGTGCTGGATGCGGGATTCTACTAACTGCTCCACTTTGTGGCTTTCAGGGCTGATGTCTGATGGGGCAAGATTGTTCTGGGGACTCAGGCCCAAGTGGAAGCTTCCCTTGTCTCCAGAGTTCTGCTGCATGTATCGAAACAGAGAGGCCATGCCCTGTTTCTCAGATGGGGTGGTGCCAAAGAATTGGCTGAGGATGCGGGTGGTGACCTCAAGGCTCTGGAAGTAGCGACTGCTCTCGGCTCTGCTTCTCCAGCGGTGGGCCAGCCAGATACGGTCGTTGAGCAGCCAGTGGGAGTGCAGCTCGGGTAGCTTGGCTGGGGGGATGCAGGTGCTCATGAGGGTATACAGCTTTCTCAGGTTGCCTGCTGTGGCTGAGCACATCGTGCTCTGCAGGGAGGTCAGGAGCAACCTTTCCACAGGCCTTTCAAGGGACAGCTGATAGAACTTGCCTTGGAGAAACTTACAGATGTGGAAGGCTGAGAGCAGGACCTCAGCTGCGGGGAACTCCATGGCTAGGGTGGGCAGAGAGAGGAAGTGGGGATCCACCAGGATAGTACAGACTCTTTCCCATGCTGGGTTAAACTTCTTGAACACCTGGAACATCTGGGCCAGGCCTTCAGCATCCTCCTTTGCAGGGATGGCAAAGTAGACTGCCCGGGCAAGATGACCTTCCAGCTGTACCTGAGGTCCATCCACCAGGAAGGTATATAACACTTTGCCTCTTGGGTTGTAGGTCCGGTGGATAAATAAGATCTCAGGGAAACGGGCAAAGACACCTTGCATAAAGCAGCTCTGGTAGTTGAAAGTATCTAACTGGGCAGTCTTGGTCACCTGGTGCAGCAGCAAAGGTGGGCTTAAGTCATTAACCAGAAGCCCATTCAGCATTGTCAGGGCCATGGGGGAGATGGGAGATGACTAAATGCTCAAATCAAAATAGTTTCTTCGTGGGACTGCTGTCCATGAGGCTTTGAGTCGGTCAAGCTTCTAGTAAGCCGAGGCCTGAGGCTAGACTGTAGTTCCCAGATCTTTCCCCAAGAAAGGGCCTGTGAAGAGGAACAGAAGCTTAAAGGGGCAGTAGGGACTTGGCTCTTCAATTATTCATCCAGATAACATTTATTGAACACTTACTATGTGTCAGCACCATTCTGGGGGCAGATACACAATAAATATGTAAACAAATAAGCAAGGATATATTGGATAATGAAGGATACAAAGACCACACACTAACATGTCAGAGAGCAAGTTGGGGAAGGGAGGGATACTTTAGTTAAGCTGGTAAGGGAAGGCCTCTATGGGGGGATGGAGGATGACATTGGAGTTGAGACCTAAATGATAAGAAGCCAGCCATGAGAAGATATGGTTCCAGGGGACTTTAGGTGTGAAGGCCAGAGCTGCATATGGCCTATTTTTTTTTCTTAAAAAATAGCATTCTAAATATGTGTATAGCATTTTACATTTACAAATTACTTCTTGGCATCCATTCTTTCCTTTGGTCCTGGTATATACAAGACAACTGCAATTGCCCCAAACTTGCTGTGTGATTGGGCAAGTCAGTGACCCTTTCTGAGCCTCAATCCCTTTCACCATAAAATGGAGCTAACAAATGTGCATAGCTTCTCCTGCCTCTACTTATATCCCTCCACTAATTGCAATGCTCTATTCCAATGTTTCCTCTATTTGGCCCTAAACTGGGCTATTGACCCCATTTTACAGTTGAGAAACTAAGGCTCAAAAAAGTTAAGTGACTTGCCCACCATTACTCTGCAAGTGGCTGGAAGCCAAGTCTTGGGCTCGGGATCCTGACCGCTTCCCACAGTACCTGGGGTCCAAAAACCAGGAATAGAGAAGGAATACGGCCTTTGACCTCTCACCTCTAACCTAGGTGGGAGATGTGCATAGCTGACATGCCCGTTCGGAGTACGGCTGGAGCCAGATGGGAAGTCACCCTCCCACCCTTTTGGGAGCTGTGTGATAGCTTACCGCGGTGATCAGCTGCCTCACACCTCCACCCCTTCAGAAATCACTCACCCACAGCCTGGCTCCGTCGCCATTTCTCCCTATTTGACCCTGCCTCCGACTCTGACTGACGTCCAGGCTCACCAACCATAGCGTCAGCTTTGCAGTGACTCGGGCCAATGGCCTGAGCAGTTCGCGTTCGGGCTTTAGTATCACAGGCCAATCGTAGCCCAGCGATTCGTGGGCGGGTGGGGTTGCCAGGGTTACCAGGGGCTCGGCTGGCGATAACCAATTAAAGTCCGAGGACACGTGCATCTGGGCGAGTCTGAGCCCTGAGGCTGGAACTCTGGAGCCTCCCTTCAGGCTAGACGACTGAAAGGGCACGTTACTATGGAAACTCCCTCAAAGGCCGAAAATGCAAAGGAAAATAAATAGCAGTATTTTACAGAAACTTTTTTTTTGTGTGCTTCAAATTCCAAAGCCGCAGGGGGTTAGGAAAGGGTGCACATGAAGTTGTACTGTCTACTCCACCTTATGCAGGAACTGAGGCTCAGGTCTCAAGTTCTGCCTCTCCCTCAAGGGTCAGAAGCCCAACCCTTGGAGTTGAGGAAATTCAGATCCCCTTGAGCAAGCCGAACCTTGGTGTTCCAGCTCAACCCCCTCCGGAACTTTACAGAAGAAACAGGTGCAGAATGGCTCTGTGACTTGTTTAAGGTCCTGGGGAACTAGTGCAAGAGCTGACTGCTTTCTTTCGTCCTCAGTTTCCCTGAAGATAGCAGACCTAGAAAGCTGAGTGGCTATCAGGCTTTAGATGATTAAGATTACTAACTAGCAACACCAAGTCAGCGTTGGCAGTTATTACTGCATGAAAAATGTTTGTATAAATCTAGAGGAGAAATTAGAGATTAGAACAGACCAACATGTTAATTTTTACAGATGAGGAAACTGGGGTCAAAGAAATTAGGGACTTGCCCACAGTCCCCCAGCAAGTTGCTGGCAGTCAAGTCTAGGATTGAAGTTTCTTACCTCCCAGTCTATTTGGGCTCCTCTTGCTAGAATATAAGGCAACCTGAAACCAACCTTGAAGGATTGGCTGGTAGAAAGAGGGAAAATTTGAATTAAAGACATCTGGTTTTCTACTGGGCTCCACAGCTCCATTAGGTTGATAATACTCAATTTCCTTTAAAATCAATAAATCTGGCCAGGCGCCATGGCTCATACCTGTTATCCCAGCAATTTGGGAGGCTGAGTTGGGAGGATTGTTAGAGATCAGCCTGGGCAACATAGCACAAACCCTGTCTCTACAAAAAAAATTTAAAAAATTAGCCAGGTATGGTGGCACGTGCCTGTAATTCCAGCTACTGGGGAGGCTGAAACAGGAGGATCCCTTGAGCCCAAGAGTTTGAGGTTACAGTGAACTTTGATTGTGCCACTGCACTCCAGCCTGGGTGACAGAGCGAGACCTTGGCTCATGAATGAATGAATCCACCCTAGAGTACCCACTTCCTGACAGTAAAGTCAGGAGTCCTACTGCTATGCAATTCCTCTTCCTTCCCAGATCAAGCAGAACACACTTCCCCTGCTTATTTGATTTGATTTAAAAAACAAAACAAAACAAAGCTTTATTTAATAAAAATAGTTACAAATAACAGATTCTTCATAAACAGCAGCAACAGCCAAAGATCACCCTCCTCCTTCCCTTTGTCCCTGAAAATAGGCCCTTTTACCAGACCCATTTTGTTTCACCCTATCCTAGGGCAGGGGTTCATCTCTGTAGGGTGAATAAGATGTGATCTCAGAGGTTGGGGGAGATAGTGGGATGACCTTTTAGCATGGAGATAACTTTGGCCTTGAACAATGAATGAGGCTATCAAAGAATACAAAGGTAGGGCTGAAAAAGGGCAGACTCAAAGGACTGTGATACAGTGGGGTTCTTCTCCCTATTGTAATAAGCTTTCCAACCTTACCTAGAAAGACAATGGTTAAAATACTGACCCTTAGCATGTCCTGCCCACTTTGAACTCTCAAACTTCTAAGGATAGGGGTTTTGGTCCCATGTGTTAGTGCACATTCTTCAGTCATGAATCATGGCTGCAGCAGGGGGAGTCCCTCCCCGTCCTCTTGCTTTCCCCAGAGGAAAGGGAGACGGCCCACGTCCTTGAAGTCTCCTGGCTGCAGATTGGACTCAGGTAGCTGACAGGGGTCAGCCCAGATATCCACAATCTTGCGCAGGGTGGAATAGCGTTCCTCCAGCTCTGGCCCCTCAGCCTGCATTAGCAGGTTTGCCAGCTCCCTGCTTAGGTCCTGAATCATGTTGTTTTGTCCTTGCCTCTCAAGCTGGCCTGTGTTTGGGACCACACCATGGTCCTGGAGCTCCCCGTTGGGCCCAAGGAGGTGCTGGTACTTCTTCTGCCACCGGCGGCACACCATAGCTTCACCAACGGGCTGCTGGCTGGTGTGCAGAAGGGCCAAAATGTGCCGGCATGGCAGGTGGTACCATTGTTGAAAGGAACAGCTGCAGCTGCAGCCATCTTTGCTAACCTGGTGAGAGTCCTCTAGCAGCTGAACGTCCACTGAGGAGCCAGCCATGTCCACCAGGTGGGTGGAGTTCTGTACCACCTCCCACTCATTTTGGCACAGCTTGTAAGCTAGTTCAGAGCCACTCTGGTGCAAGGTGTCTAGCATGCTACCCTGGGAGGGCTGTACCTGTGGCTGCTGCTTCAACTGCACCTGCTGTGAGTCTGGTTTTGTCTCTTCCACAGGGAGTCTGGTGAGGCTCCCACCACTAATTCTAAAATCCTTCTTAGACTTCGGTGGCATGCTTGCCGGCCGAGCCCTCTTTAACTTGGGAGGAGCCGTGGGCAAGTTCTTCAAGCCTTTGGTATTAAAGAAGTCTATGTAATCCACAAAGCAGAGGATGCAGTCCAGCAGGGACTGCTGTTCCCTGAAGAGGCTTGACACCTTACTGGTGACAATGTCTAGGCTGTCCATGTAGGTGTTACACGCGTGCAGGCCCTTCCTGACATGCATGTACCACAGCAATTCACAGGTGAACCAGTGGGCCTGTAGAAAGTTGAAGAGATCCTCGTCTAGTAGGGCCTGGGACATCTGACAAAGATTTTTCAGGCTGGTATCAGAAGTGACAAACACAGCCTCCCGAAGGGCTTCTTTCATGAGCCTTTTAAAAGATGGATTTGCTGAACTACGATGCAACTTCTTCTCCAAGAGTCGGGTTGTGTGGTAGATGGAGAGGAGGATGCGAGCAGCAGGGAAGATCTCCTGTAGGACAGACCGGTGAGGGAATGAAGGGTCCACAAAGACCACCTTGACCTTGGGCCAATCAGAGTTGAACTCTGTGAAGATACTCAGCATCTTGGCCACAGAGGTGGCTGTCTCGGCTTTGAGCACAGCAAAGTGTACCACTCGACTTTCTCGTTCCTTGTTCTCTACCAAGAAAGCATAGAGGATGTGGCCTTGGGCATTCTCCACCCGGTGCAGCAAGAGATTCTCTGGGAAGCGGATGAATAAGTCACTCATTTTGCTGCTCTGGAAGCTGAGGCGGTCCAGGTCTTGGCTGTCACCCACACTGAAGGAAGCCATGGAACCCTCATCTACTTTAAGAAAGTTCTTCATCACTTTTGCTATCTTGGCCAAGTCAGAAGGAGTGATGCCTTCCTGCTCTGGCTTTGAGGGCACTTGTACTTTATCTAGGCAAAACAATGTTTCAACTGGGGACTTTTCAGTGTCAAGGTCTTCACTGATTGTTGGTTGCACAGGCTGGAGTTTCTGTAGGCACATTGTCGTTTGAGATTTGCCAGTGGTGTCACCTCCAACAGCAGCAGATTTGGCATCACCGTGTATATGCTGGGTGTTTAGCTCACTGATGAATAGTCTATCTAGTCTCTCGTTGTACCTCAGGAGCAAGTAAGCCGGGCACATGTCTGCCTCCCGTGTTCTCTTCCTGTTTGTCTGGGTCCGAATACAGACAAATTTCACCTGCATATATCTAGGGAAAGTAGAGGTGACAATGAGAAAGGTGCTGACTGTCCCCCTTATAAAGATAAGATCCTGTGGGGATTTATATTGGCTGATATGTCTCCTGGAAACCACAATGTAGTATAGAATTAAGGAGGGAAGATTTACATTATCTTTCCAATCCCAAAGTATTTAGCTCTTTCATCAAGACCCTCTCCAACTACAACCCCCCTTCATGTCCTTCCACGGCAGTTCTTAGCCCCAACTCCTTTCATTCTCCCTGTTGCCTTCTGTAGCTGCCAACAATTCAATCTGAGTCAGTACAAGAGAAAACAGACAAGAGGCAGCAGCAGAATGACCAGCTGGTACCGTCATTCCTGTCCTTTCAGAGCTACTGCCTTCTCTTCCTCCTCCAGAGAGCAAAGATAAAATGAGGCTCAAAGGACACAGGACTAGATCAGTGGTTATCAGCTGAGCTCTTCTGGACCCTCCAGGGGTGTTTGGGATGATTTCTGTTTATCTTTTTTTTTTTTTTTTTTTTTTTGTATTTTGCTTGTAATAGAAATCCAAGCCCCAGAGAATAAACACTTATTAGCATTCTTAACAGGGACCTCTAAGGACCAAAACCCCACGTTAATTACCTTAGGAACTAAAGGGAGAGAAGCCAGTTCGTTTTTTGGTTTTTGTGGGTTTTTTTTTTTTGCCATTTAAAAAGATCTGTAGAGATTAACTTGCCAAAGATAGTATTGTGTAATTCTCTCGTAGGTTTTAAGAACCTCATTACGTTTCAACCTTAAGCAAGGCTAGTGTGTAACAATTCTGTGTGGGCTTATTTAGGATTGTTATTAATTTTACTCTTCTCTTCTAGGTTATTTCTTCATGGACTGGGGATACCGGGTAGGTGTCATTAATAGTTACAGTAATGAAACGGGGTCATGCAACTCTCCTTACTAGGTCAAAGGTTTAACGTTTAAGGAATTAAAAATGTATTAAAATGATTGATTGTGATGTTCGTTATGTGCAATAAGATACAATCTTTTTGAAAATCTGAATTTTCCCCTTATTATCTTGAATTTATCATCTTTCAACTTCTGTTTCTGGAACATATTAAAATTGCAAATTCCTCCTTAAGTTGGTTCTGGATATTGGATACCAGAGTTTGGTGAATGTTACTAGAGACAATGTGCCATTGAGAGCTTTCCAGGGGAGTTAAAATTTCAGAGCAGATTGAGGAGAACTAGTTGATTTTGGTAAGAGAAACAGTAGCAACAAAAGGCATACCTACAGCATTCTGAATGAGGATTAGGTGTTCCCCCAAAAGAGAAATCAGTTGAAAGGCAGGGGCAACTCAAGATTATTTGGAGGCTTATCAGACACATTTTTGTACTAACTATATGATTTATCTTTTACTCAGGCTTTTACACATTGAGAGATTTTGGGTTTTTATAATATCTAACTTAATTGGGGATTATCTGTTTGAACTCAGCAAAATATGAATGCTGTTTAAAAATGAAAATTGGAGGAAAACTGAAGATAAGTAATTTTGATAAAGTATAGAAAAACCCTAAGTCTTCTTTAAAATGAGGCATTGGGGTAGATTATTAGAGTAGCTGGAATACGGTGCACATCACGACGACTGGATAATTTTAAAACTTTGTTAGAGGTCTCACTGTGTTGCTCAGGCTGGTTTCAAATCCTGGCTCGAGTGATCTATACATACATACTATGATAAGTTTAATTTATAAATAGACACAGTAAAGATTAACCACAATAATAGTAAAGTAGAACAATTATAGCAATATACTGTAATGGAAGTTATGTGAATGTGATCTCAACATATTGTACTGTACTCATCTATTTTGGGTGGTGGTGAATGGAGATACTAAAACTTTGGAAAAGCAAACTGGGGATGGCAGGAACTATTGTATTTATTAAGATATAATTCACATACCAAAAATTCACCTTTTAAAAGCTATATATTCATAGTTTTATATATTCATGAAGTTGTGCAACATCTCCACCCTTAATTCAAGAATATTTTCAACATCCTAAAAAGAAACCTTCACATCGCAGTAGCAGACTACTCATTCCCTCACTGGCAACTACTAATCTCTGTTTTCTATGGATTTGCTTATTCTGGCATTTCATATAAATGGAATCGACAATATTTGGTATTTTGCATCTGGCTTTACTTAACAAAGTAAAGCCTTTTTCAGTCTCATCTATATTGTAACATTTATCAATACT